TGTAGGCTAAAATGCCGCCTTAATGCGTTGCACACATCTGAATATTTGGTTTGAAGTGTTCTGGAGCAGTGTTGTAAATACAACTTAACCACTGATTTCTAGTTGTGTCCTCTTTTGGAAGACCAAACAAAGTAGTTTTGCTTTCACAACGAAACACACAGCGTCTTCACAGCATGGCGGAGGCAGCGGCAACAATAAAGTTACGCCTTCTTTCTTTGCGTGAACATTTGGGTGGCGTTATGCAAATCTTCCCACATTGTGATGTAGGCATGTGGGGGTGTGTTAGAATGAGCGTTTTAGGTAGGTGTGGCTGACTCTTAACTTTTATAAAGAATATCTCTTTGGATTTGAGACTTTAGTCTTTGCAACTTTACAGATCTTCTTTATGCACCAAGAGCTTGTAACACTCCAAAGAGAAAGGAACAATTGAAATCGCATCATATGACCCCTTTAATAGTGATTATTTGCACCAAAGATTCTGTTCTCTTGATGGAAATGGTGCTTTATTCACAAATGTTGTATGCAGTAGTTTAATTCACGACTGTGTAAGCGTAGCTAATGACACAAAAGTGCACTTCTGGGAGTTTACAAGCTGTGTGCCCAAAATAATTAATGACACAGTCAATCAAATGAAGCTGCACCAATTTTTGGGGCACATACTAACATACTTAAAACGGCACTGCAAACTGAAGAAACCACATCATCTTTATTGGACTTTAACAACAGTGGAGGGAAACGATCCCTATGTAGTGTTCACTGACTCACCCTTCGTTCAGAACACCCTGCAACGTCATCACGTATGAGAGATTTCAGCTATTTTGACATAATATACTTGTGTAGAAGTTACCGTACTTTCATTTGAAATACATGTGTTTCTGTGGGTCTTAAAAAGCCTTAATTTGTTCTTTCACAAATTAAGGTCTTAAATTGGAGCAGAAAGTCTTACATTTTAAAGTCATGGCATTGAATCCTGCATACACTGCAAAAAATTGATATCTTTGTCAGTATTTTTCTGTACAAATATCTAAACATCCTTAAATCAACATTTATTTGAGATGCAGAATGAACATGTGAAGTCTTGTTTTTACCTTTGAAGTTGATTTTTCTGAACCCATTAGCAGATATTAGATTTTTTCTCTTTCATAAATTCACTTAATTTTAATAAATCTCTTTAAAAACAGGACTTGTCATTTCTGCATTTATCTTGAATTTTTTGATTTGCACTGTAAAATGACAAAAATACTGAGGAAGAGCTTCACTTTTGCGCTTTTTGATCAGAAGGTACAGTAAATATTATTTCCATATTCTAATTAAGCTTTTTTTTGTTGTTAAATTAATTAAAGTAATGGAGATGGGTTTGACATTTTATGTTCAAACTTTTAGTGTCTAATACAACGCATTGTTTTCCTTAGACATCTACATTTATTGACATATTGAGTTCCCTTTAATTTATTTGCTTTTAAAAAGGTATTAAAAACTTAAATTTACCTTCATAAACCTTGCAGAAACCCTGAAATAATACGTTATTATTAATTTAATTAATATAAATTGTCATTTGAAAGTGCTGAACTGAGTGATAAATATCTGATGCGTTGTTTAATAAAGCAATAATCCCCGTGAAGCCGTGGTTTACAGTGAATTTATAACAGCTAAAGGAAGCAGAGTGCCTAAAACCCCTTAGCTGTTATAAATTCACTGTAAACCACGGCTTCACGGGGATTATTGCTTTTATAAAACGGTTATTCCATATACGTAGTAAGGTTTCACAAAATAAAACAGAGCAAATAAAGTGTAATGATATTAATAAAAACAGTATTCTTCCACCAAACAATGTAGCTCCTCAGAAACAGTTGTGGTTGCTACAAAGTGGTTGCCGAGCAACACACAAACGTAAACAAAGGTGTATGTTACTTTGTAGAGTCATTTACAACAGCTTCGAACGCAGCTCAGCCAATCAGAATCAAGGACCGGGACTATCCCTTTTATAATATGAAAATAAATGGCTGATGGGTAAATTTCCTGTGAAGTGTCCATGTCCCTTAAGGCAGAAGGTCCTGTGACGTCTACTCAGGGCGCTTGCGGTCGAACGGTACGCACCCCTAGTGTGTCTCCGCTCTACTGACTCCTCACCTCCCACTTGGTCTCCTCCAGTCTGGGACCCAGCTGCGTGTGCTCTCGTTCGTAAGAGGCGCAGCGCTCCTCGAGCCTCTGGCGCTCCTGCAGGAGCTGCATCATGTCCTCCTGCTGCTTCTTCTTCTCCTGCTGCAGCTGAAACACCTGGAGCTGCAGGAGCTGCTGCTCGCGCTGCGCTTTATGAGACGCCTTCTGCATCTTAGCCGCACACGTCTGTCTGAACTCCTCCATCTCCAGCTCCGTGCGCTTCTGACGCTCCTCGTACACCTGCACAAACACACACACAGTTTGTGTGTTAAGGCCAATTAACACCAAAAACGGTAACTATATTAGCATCCACACTAACGATGCTGGAGCTCTTTAAAGCAGGATGGATTCTGATTGGCTGTTAATGTTTTTACCGTTCTTCAGCTGAAAAAACAATCCCTCTGAAAGTGATTCCAGTGATATTGTTCCTCTGAGTCGTTATCGTTATAGTTGTAGCGTGTTGTTTTTGTACTAAAAGTAATTTCCACATCGTTTTCTTTATAGAGATTTTAATACAAAGATCTGAGCCCTGAACCAAACCAACCAGTTTAAGGATTAATCCAAATTTTACAAACTCTGATTTAAGACAAAACAGTATTTGAAAATTGTGAATATGGGCTGTTTGAACAGATATAAAGTACGTTTTTTTTTTATTTATTTTTTTTTACATTAGAATTAAGTACAGTCCCATGAAGCAATGGGAAGGAATTGAATGACAATGGTAATACATTTTTTTTTAATAATTTTATAATAAAAATTTAAAAAATTACAATAAATTATAAATAAAAAATTACACATATATATATATATTTTTTTTTTTTTATGTAATTATTGTAGTTAAATATATTTAATATATATTTTTTATTACAATAAAGTATTAAATTATAAAATTTGTGT